ATGAGGGACAATTAAAAGGTGGCACTGGAGCAGAGCTCTCTATACAACCCTGGGAGGAGAGTACACTGCGAGCCCCATGTGCACTGTGGGAGGAGTCTGCGTAAAATGTGGGCGGTCTGTCAGTGCTGTGGGAGGAGCCCCGGGTAAACAACGGCTGAGGCTCCTCAGGTCAGTGGTGACAGCCAGCTTGAGCCTCACGACTCAGTGTCATCACCTGCAACACATTACAGCAGAGGGTCTGTTAGCGCACACAGCTGAGCATGCTCAGAGATACACAACCCAGAAAACCGAAAACTGGCACGTGTGCACCTGCAGCATACAGCACCAGCCACCAGGGGCAGTATCTGAAGTAGTGCTCAGCAGGTCATGCAGCATTATGACACCAGAACCTGTCATCATGACAAGGTTTCAAAAGGTCCAATTCACCAAGCTAAGGATGACACACTCCCAACAACAGTCACAAACACACCTGGCCTCAAGGGGGTGTATTCACAACTGCTCACCAACCATCTAAAGTTATAGCTCCACTCACTCTGATTCAGACGGACTGTCCTTGTGGAGTTCGGCCCTGGCGGATGGTGACAAGTTCAGTTCTCCTCCTGCATGAGAGAACAGGGACTTTAAAATCAGAACAGAAAATGGGAATTAAATGGTTCCAGAATGATGACATTCCAATTCTCGCCCTTACCTCTGATAAGATTGAGGAAGTACAGCACCACAACAGCAACCAGGGCCACTAGTGGGGGAGGGGAGAATATTTAGTCATTCCACAGAAGTGGAAATAGCAGGTCTAATCACTAGAGTAAAAAGACTTTATCACAAATGAATTTTACACCATTAAGTGAAAATGTCCTGTAGATGTGCTGCAGCAGGGAAATCAAACTTTGCTAGGACGAATGCCTGCAGGTCAGGGAAGAGCTTGGCCACTGATGTCCACCTGGCCATGTGGAATACTTACAGCAGACAAAAGCACAGAAGAAGACCTCAAGGAACAGGTAACCCCGGCTGTCAAGGATGCCCCCCGCCGCCATAGAGATCAGAGCCAGACCCAGATTCTGTATGGACTGCATGCTGCAGACAGGGGAGAAAGCGTATGCAGTTACTGCATACGAAACCAAGGCAGCGGCCGGAAATAACATCGACCACTTGACGACAACTGGGCCACAGCAAAGTTTAATCAGAGAAACCAGCAATGGATTTATGGGCAACACTTACAATCCATAGGCAGTTCCCAGCTGGTGCTCTGGGACCACATAGGCAACCATGGGCCACAGCGCACATGCTAGCAGAGAGTAGGACACACCCAGCAGGCTCTGAGGGTGACAGAGAGCATCTAATGTCAACACACATATGGAAACGTCTACCTCAACTTCAGAAAGATCACCTCATCCATCTTGCAAGGCCAAATAATTATCTTCTTTCTAGAAATGATGTTTCATTACTCCAAACAATGGTTTAATGAATAAGGGGCCACAATTCTGTCATACATCCCTGGGACACCTAGTCACCCCTGCCCTGACACAATGGGCTATAGAAAGGCACGTACATGTAACTTCACTGGCACAAGCCAAGACTTTAAACGCTGTCAGGAGAAATGGGTTAAATACAGATATGGGGTCACCATAGCAATCCAGGGGTTCCAGAAGGTGAAGGCAAGCATCATATGGGAAGCCAGAGTGACGACAACAGCCATCACCACCCAGAGTATGTTCTTCCCAGTCTTATCCACCATGAAGCCAAGGATGGGCGATGCTGGGGCTGAGATGATGTACACAACACTGGCAGAAGGAGAGGGGTCAAGGGTCCATGATGTCGCCTGTGCAAATAGCACTTAACGCCAAATCACAATCTACAGTGTTTCGGACAAAAGCCTCAGTAAAAGCAAGTAAAAGGAGAAACTAGACTCCCGTTTAGAAGCAGAAACGTCTCTTGGCACAAATTCCAACTGCCGGATCCCGAAAGGTTTGTGGATTTTAAGCAAACCCTATTACGTCACGTTAAAAGACGTACTGCACACCTCAGTCAATGGCAGAGGGTATAAAATAATGAACGAATGAATGAATAAAAAAAAAGAGATACCTGTTAATAGCACTTGCTTCAGCTGGTGAAAAATTGAACTTTTCAATGAAGAAAACCCTGGAGGGGGGAGTCAATAATGTGAATCTTACAGCTAGGTTTCCATTCAGTCTGCAAACAGAAATGATTAATCCTGCCAGTACCATTCGCCTGCCCCCACCCCAGCACCTTAGCAGACCCTGCACAAATGCTGGCCCCACAATTATCAAATGCAAATCCACAGCCTGGTGATGGAGAATTGTATGCTTTTGTCTAGTACCTCATGGGGAGGGATATTTCTGTTTCCACAAGACAGCGAGAGTTAATAATCTGACAGTCTGAACTTGACAATATGCCTCTGTTGTATTGATTCTTTTTTGTTTTCCTGCTGAGCAGTCCTCGCTCGTCTTATCGGGTAATTTTCCGATCTAAAAACCAGGTCAGCTCAGCCTCAGTTAACACACACGTTACGCATCCAGTTTTATGAGGACATTTTACGTATACCAATAACCACTTGGATTTGAAACTAAGAAATGCCAAACAATTAAAAATGAAGGCCGATATCTACCATAGTTACTGTCTATATAAACTGGACAATCACCATCCAGCTGTAGAACCAGTGAATGAATTGGTCAAAAAAAAGGCCGGAAGACAGACGAGAACGAGGGACTCACTGGCCAAGCCCAATGAAGGGAAAGACAGCCACATAGTAGCCCACGCAAATGATGAAGATGAGCCAGAGAGAGGGGGGGAAGTCTTTCACATCAGACAGCTTGATCACTTCTCCTACAAGACAGGAAAAGAAAAACACCACAGTATCACCATAACTGGGGAAGCAAAAGGCCCTAATGCACCCAGTCAGCAGATTAAAACTGCCATGCATGCAAAACTGAAACTTGACCTCTGGTCGGCATTTCCACCTCAAGAACCAGACACTAAACCAAGGACTTACTGGTACAAATAGACCCCGCATTTCCTTCTCTAACCATGACCATCACAAAGGATTGTGGGGAATTTGGATGCAGGGATTATTCTGCATGGTTCTTTAAATCAAAGACTCACCGGTTTTGCCTTCTTCTTTGTTTAAAAGTCGTTCAGCCCGTTTGTCAAGGTAGCCAAGGATCACCGCACAAGCCAAGGAGAACACGCATGTAGCGGACGCTGAGTGGGAAGGGGACAGAAACAAAGTATACATTTATGTCCTATGCATTATCACTCAGGTTGCGCGTTAATTGCAGTTTCGTACTGTACAGAATAACATTTTATGTAAAATACTGCAAAGCGAATACAATGTACATGTGTAAAAAGACATTTGAAGCAGCTGATCTATGAGTCTTTTTTCTGGAAAGGTTTTGAACCAGAAGAAATTCTGCAGAGCCGAGTGACAGCGATCCATTTCACAACAAGGTGTCACGGCCTGAGAAAGACAGGGCCATAAATAAGTATATTACCAAATAAACCTTAACCCAATTCAGAAAGTACCACTACGGCACTTGTGTTACAACTCCTATTACAGAGAAACGAAGCAAAATAGCTCAAAGAAAACTAATCATGCTCCATCTCATATTTCTGTTCAAGGTCAATGGGGCAGGAGTGCAAAACCAAAACGACCAAAGATCACCCAGTTATCAAGTTACCATACTCGGTTACTTTTTATGCTGTACTTTTGGTCTCCCTTTCTTTGCAGAAGCGTTAAAGTAACTACTTTTCCAAAGCATTTCAAATACAATCAAGGTCAGTTAACAGACACCCTGCCCTAGAGGCTCCGGCACCTACCAATCATCAGCACGACGCCCAGCGTGGAGTAGCCCGTGGACCCCCTCCAGTCCCAGATTCGGTGGTACACCAGTCCCATCACGTTCATGTTCACGGTGCTACCCTGGAAAGCACGAGACAGGACCTCAACCAGCAAGCTGAGACAAACAAGAGCTAAACAAGAGGAAGTCGAATTAACAAGCCTTATCTATCACAAAGCTGAAACAATTAATGAACTGTAATAAACTAGATCCTCAAGTGAAAAAAACACAAGGAAGTTTACTGCTTCATTTGTAAAATATATGCTTAGTAATAGGAGAAATAATCATCTCAGTGCTTGTACCAGACGCGCCATACTGAGCTGAAGACCGAACACAAGGTTCAGACCTCTCCCCTTGAACCAGTTCACAGCATAGGTATTCTGGGCCACAGCCAAGGACTCGCCTCCAATGCTGAAGTGCAGAAAGGAATCGCAAAAGCTACATTCTGTGCTTGGTTGGTTGCATATAAAATCACATGCATTTAAAATACACCAGGTGCAAGTTCTCATCAGTCTGTACAGTCTGTGCACAGTGTCACTCTTCATTCACACGGACATTATAAAACTTTGACTGGACTGAAGACAGGTGAGAGCTACTTGTGCGCAACATGATTTCATCATGATATGAAAGCTAACAAATGTCTTGAAACTAAAAACAGATGACCACTTAACTCCTTGCCAACGTTATAAATTTTGCATTGTGCATTAATGAAGGGCTAAAAGAGAGACAGCCTGATCAAAATTAATAAAAATAAAATGAAAAATCATCAAATACTCACCCAAAGACAAAACGTCCAAATACCATCAACCAGAAAGCATTGAAAAGTGCACCAGCAGCAAATATGACCTCAAGAGGACAAAGAAATGCCTTTTAAATGCACGTTAAACTTCCAAGAAAACATTCAAAAATTCATCAGCAGAAACGGGCTGAGGTTTCCGAGGACGATCTGCACGCCGCTCTGGATGTACCAGCGACCCCAGCATGACCAGTGGATTGAAACATTTCCACCAGGCTTACCAACCTGTCCAACACACACAAGGATGGAGAAGATGACTGTCCCCAGCCTGAAAGAAAGAAGGGTAGTGCTAACTCAATCGAAAGGTGTCACCCACAGTCCTGAAGATAATTAAGTCTGCAATATTAAGCAATAAAACTGCTGTATGTACAAATTATCTTATTTGAAAGGAGGAGTCATTTTGCTCATGGCCTGGACTGGTCTGGAGCCCATATCTCAATTATCTGCCATATATAATTGTATTATCCTCACTAAATACATACATATCATATGGAGTTTGGAGAAGCATAACTGTAATTCAGTAAGTGGGGATTACATGCAGTATGGCTGTTTTAACAGACTGCACTTCTGCAGTGGGCAGTGGTGGCTTGATGGTTAGGGTAGCGCACTTGTAATTGAAAGATTGCAGGTTCGAATCCCCCACCAGCAAGTCACCACTGAGGTACCCTGAGCAAGGTACCGCCCCCAAGCACTGCTCCCCAGGCGCTGAATTAGCTGCCCCCTGCTATGTCACGAAAGTCACATATGGGTCAAATGCAGAGGACACATTTCGTTGTTGCGCACTGTGTGCTGTGGTGTGTTGACAATGACCATTGATCACTAAGTTCTAATTCTTCTAATTTTGAAGGGAACAGGACTCAACCAACCTAATGCCAAAGACTCTGTCCAATAAAAATCCTCCCAGGAAGCATAGGACGACATTGGGCCAGGAGTACCAGGCGTACAGCTGCATGAACTGGGACGTATTCAGCTCCATGTCCTGTTATGAAGGGTTTGGGGTGTAACAACAGGTAGAGGTTTTACAAAACTGTGCATTTAATTCAGCTAGTCCAGGTTGGTAAAGTAAAGGCTTCATTCCAACAACTCTATAAAATAACTGCAAATGCACCATGAAAGTGCAATTATTTTTTTAAGCTGCTGTCAGCAGGTGACACTTCCAATTAAACAAAAAAATACTGCAGACCATTTTCATGCTTTGAAAATAATAAATCATGTAAAATAATTCCTGGAACAGAAGCTGTTCCAATTTACGGAAGAGAAGAAAAAGGGAGCCATTTTCAAAAGAGGAAAGGGAGAAGTGAACCAACAAAGAGAAGAGACTTGAATGGTACTTCAACGTGTAAGTGCCGTGTTTCAGTTGCCGGGCAATTATCAAGTTATGCAGCCTGCAAAATACACAGGCCAAACTTCACCCCTGGCAAATCAATGGCAATAGAAAAATATTAGGGAATCCTGTATTTGAACGTGATACAGTTGTGTGTCTGCATAAGCGCACGGACACATTACATTTGGACAGGCAGAAATGACTCACACGTATCTGTTATCGGCCGCGTATTGACACGGCGGACAGCTCACCTGCTTAATCTGCGTCTGCAAGGCGGCCGGGTTGTCATAGCAGAAATAACTCCCTGACAGAGATAGAAGAAAATGTCGGGCGAAACTGCAGCTTTCCCGTAAACCGAAATTCAAACAGCACATTTACACGCAAATATCAATGCTTGATAGAAAAGGCGCCGCCTCAGACCACCAAATTTAGTCAGCCAAGGCAGAAACTCATATGTAAAAAGTAGCCAATACCACCATCTCGTTACTTAAGCACTTTACACTTCATTACCTATACGTGTTATTTAATAAATAAAAATCTTTCATTTTGGTACAAATGAAGCCAACAGCGGGGACCTGGATATACTGTGTTCTATAAAGTTATTAAAGTGGCGTGACCCGCCCGTCGCGTCTTTCGGCTGCTCAACTCACCAAAACCTAAAAAGCACATTAACAGCAATACCACGAATCTATGGGCCAGTCGAGTCGGATCGCATATGGCCAACATTGAATTCGAGGAGCCGCCATCGCGGCTCGTGAAGGAGTCACCCTCTCCATCCATCAGGCTTTGCCGTTCTGAACTCTCCGCCATTTTCAGCCCGGCCGGGACTGCGACAAAACATCGAAAAGCAAAACAGCGCCTGGTCATATGACCTGACTCACGTGACTCGCGGCGAGCCTGGCTGACTCACGTGACTCGCGGCGAGGTCAGCTGATTGGCGGGTATCCCGGGGATCCAGAAGCGTGCGAGTGTCGCGGTCTCGCAGTAAAGAAGTGACATCCCTTTCAGAGTGCTGTCCTTAGTGCTCAGCATTCATCATTAGGATTTGGGTTAGTTATTTCGTTATTAATTAATTTGTTCGAAGCCAGATTTTCTCAAATTTGAAAAAAGACTTTTCGAATGTAACATCGGAATAGTACATCCCTTACTATAACTATGTCGAATGTATAAAAAAATGATTGTATGATTATAGTTTCTTTCCTAGCAGTTACTGGGTATATCTGACCAATTAATGTTAATGATTTAACTGTAATTTCTTTCTGGATACTTTCCTTCCGGGGTCACTGTTCCTCTGAACGTGGGACAGAAAAATCAGATTGTGGAGTTAGTTTTGATCATTTTTAATTAATAACACGGAGTACAAATGGTGATTCAGATGTTACTGAACATTATTAACGGGTGTTGAGTTGTTTGTTAAGAATTGCTTCTTTAAATATTCTTGCTGTTGTGCGGTATTGATACATATCCCTGTCAGCGGCGTAACTTTGGGTTGAACCACTGGGTTAAGGTCTCCACCCATTTAGGGGGGTCCTGGGGCATGCATTGGCCTGTTTTTTTTATTGGGGGAGGGGGGGTTACACCCCCACCTCCCGTATTTTACGCCCATGGTCCCAGTGTATAAATAGGAGTGAGGTAACTTTATTACATGCAAATTTTAAACTGAGTGCATCATTGCTCGCTAATTTATGCAGTGCAGGTTTGAATAATGACACCTTGAGGGCAGTCGTCCTCCCCACAGGTGGAAGAGGACGATCTGTGAAGCAGCCCTGCTCTCTTATTGGTCAGTTTTAATATTGACCCTGCCTTTCCTTTGGGGGCAGAGTTCTCCTGCTGTTTTCTTAGGTTGCTAGGTGGACACACTCACAGCCACTTCATACAGGGTCAGTGGCATTAAGTTTACCAGCTCCCTGAAGTCAGGGCATTTTTGGGGGGTGGGGACTGGGAGAAGCTTTGCTCATTGTGCCCCCCCCCCCCATCCTTCAACTGAAGCCCCATGTAATGATGTCACATGGACAGGGCGTCTGCCAAATGCAGTAAATGTAAATTGTAAATGGACATCCAATTTGCACGCTTGACTGTAACATTGACCTGTGTCACAACTTCATTGTGGTGTGCTGCACATTTCTGTGAAGTCTGTCGACTGGTGACATCACTGGGAAGCTGACTGACTGAATAAATGGACAAGGTCATCAGAATTTAATGTTTTTTTTAAGAACGGCTGCTGAGTGTGGTGACAGCGGTGTGCCACGTTTTGAAATATGTTTAACAGAACTCATCATTCCAGCCAACCAACATTCTTAATGGTTAAAATTAGCAGGACAAATTGGTTAGAATTAATTTTTTTATCCTGATTTTATGTCTTATTTCTACTACAGCTCGTAATTCTTCTCTGCCAGAAGCAGGTCTTCCATCGATGTCAGTTAGGATTCCTCTGTAATTCATCGTGTGGAGGTCATTTGTCAGTAGATTTCATCTGTGTGTGGCAAACAGGCATCCTTTTTACCAGGGGGGGGAGGTGTTCATATTTTGTTATTTTAATTAACATGGCATGTGAATGCTGTGAAAAATAAGGATCTCTAAATAAAGACAAGTTCTATGGCGTTTGCAACCTCCTGGTACAGCTCAGAGGTGCTGAAGGGAATACGACCAAACTGGCTTCTAAAATAAACGTAACTGCAGGCCTTTATGAATAATGCATGTCCAGCCATCTTCGGTTCTGAGATGACGTCACTGCTCACATTCAACTCTGTCTCCATTAAGAAATGCCTCTCGTATAAAATCTTATCTAATGGAATTAGTGTAATCCGTACTAATCTGTGATTATAGAGTAAATGTGAAATATGCAGACGTGATTTTCTCATTCAGTCTGAAGTGTTAAACTGATTATTATATTTTCATTATTATTTAGTAAGCTGTGTCGTCTTTGGTGGCCATGTAATCACCAGGTACACTCTCAGTAAATCCTTAGACCCCCCCACCCCACATTGCTTTTCTCTTTGCCCATTGGGGCGTTTACAGCTGGTTGTCGTGTTTTTAGTGCTGGAAATATTTTTGAAATGTAGGACAGCTACATTTAGTGTTTTCTGATTTAATCGGTCATTATAATCATGTACCCTTCTCACTGGGGTGGGGTGGGGTGGGGTGGGGGGCGTTGCACTAATGTAATTGTAAAGGTTATTATCACGTGGCTGCTGATAGGATGGTCGGGTTTGTGTCATCAGATTTAATTCTGCTCTTTAATTGGAAAAGGAAAAAAATCATAATCGGGGCAGAGCCGGTTCTATGTGCGTTTTTGTAGCAAGGGTTGGAGGGTTTTAGCTTAAGTTTAATAACTTGCTTTTACTGCCCTCTAGTGTTTGTTATCTGGATTGGCAGCTTTTTCGCGGCAGTAAAACCACGGCTTCAGTGACCGCGCTTTCCACGGCAAGCGAAGGAAAGTCATTTGGTCATTTTCACACCCGAATCAGAAGGCTCTGCTTTTGGTAACAGTTTTACCCCACAGCCAGCCAGGTTCATAGGGAATACAGACATACATAATTACACACAGCCTCGCACCATTTCATTTAGCAGTCCATTATGTTCTGCTACCCTAACGACTAATAGTGTTTCTCTGAGACATTCTCTTCAGTATTCGCTTGGCTCTCTGTCCCGTCTGTTCGTTCAGTCTTCAGTTCCCAGAGGGCTGCAGTAAACGATGTCTGTGTCTGAAAGAGCCCATTCTCTCAGCACAGAGAGCCATAGAAACAAAGTTTAAACGTTCTAAAAACGATCAGGGGGGCAGCTGGGAATTAGTTACCACTCAGACACCAAACTCTTACTGTTTTTACAACGTCAGGCCAAGTTTTTTAAGGATAAAGATGCTTGTGAAGACATTATCAGTTTTTATATATATATAAACTGATAATGTCTTCACAAGCATCTTTATGCTTAACAAACTTGGGCTCACACACACACACATATATATATATATATATATATATATATATATATAAATAAAAACATGCACCAGTGCTGTAAAGTGAACAGATAAATGAATCTGGGATTAAGATATAGCAGAAACCTTTACAAGCCTGACTGTTAAGTTTTGTGGGTGATGTTTTGTTTTGTCATTGTGCTTTCGAAGTTAAGGGTGGTTTTGTTTAAGAGGTTAGTTCCCGCCCCCACTGCATATAAACACTGCCCGGCCCGCGGGGGCCCGTCAGTTGCGACAGCATGTTCTGGTGTTTCTGTGCGGTGCTGGTGCTGGCCGCCCCGTCCCCAGCGCAGGGCAGCCCCACTGCAGCCTCCAGCGGCAAGCCGGCGCGCGGCACAGACATGCTGGCCGCCGCTGGGAGACTCACCCAGTCCATCCAGAAGGGGAGCCAGATTTCGCTGACAAGCCCCTCAAGTGGAATCCCAGTAAGTAACTGGATTACGCACCGCATGGTGTGTTTAAGGCCTGTCGTTGGGTTGCCAGTCCCATTGCTAGGACATGTAAGCTTTGTTTTATACTGAGAGTTCTGATTCTGAGAGTTACTTTTGTAAAGAATACTCTGGTGAACTATGGAATCACAATGGTATATTTTGCTGATGGGGGGTGGGTGGTGTGGCTATATTTCAACAATGGGGGGGGAGGGGGGTTGGGACTAGAAATGTCTGACTGATTGACTAGTCGATCACTATTCACTGGTTGGCAGTGTTACCGTAATTTATATTCAGTCCCTCATTTTGGGTCAAACTGAATTCTTCTGTATTTAATTTTTACAACGGCAGTTTCTTAGTATCTGTTCTGTTTGTTAACCTTTGAATCTGTGTTGAGCAGCACATATTTGGTTAAGATGGAGACCGGTCACAGGGGTAGTGCTCCTCGCTGTGTGTGTACACTGCATTTTGATGAATAATGGATTTCTTGGGGGTTAACAGGCCTCCTGTTTTAATGATTAACTTTCGCCAAGGCGCCAGTGCTTACATACTCGGTGCATTTAGCATCTGTACAAAACAAACGAAAAAGGCTAGTGCTGAATTTTAATGACAGTGGGCTGAAAAATAAGTCCTCAGGGTTTACATTATCTTTTTTAATATTATAAGACAGTGTACACAGTACATATGCAGCTGCTGAATATCCCCAGTTCCTTGGTTGTTTGTCTAAGTAGATCATATCCGTGAAGAGGCTGGATCCGACTGCAGTAACATTCCAAGGCGAGGGAATGTGTGTGTGTGTGTGTCATATATATATATATATATATATATGTGCGCATGTCAGTTCATGTCATGTCAGTTCTTAGCCTTGCCCTTCTTGGCAGGCAGCTGTCCAGTGGCCTCCAGATACTTATGGTGGAGCTCCTCTTGTGTGCTGGGGGAGCATGGCTTGTACCTGGCATAGTCCATGGTGTACTCTCCTTTTCCCTGGGGGGTGACAAAGCGTCAGACCGCTGGCTCCGCAGCAGATGCACCCGTGAGCCGGCCTGACAAGGCGGTATCTTACCTCGGTGTTGGACCGCAGCTCAGTCGAGTACCCAAACATGTCATTCAGTGGAACCTGGAGATGGGAGAGGGGACCGGTGTCAAGCGCTTTGCCGCCTCACACCACACGAGGGCCGGAACCCAAAGGGCTGAGCCCAGAGGACGGAGAGGCACTCACATCCGCGTAGAGCGTGAAATAGTCCTCTGCCCCATCCTGTCCAGTGATGACACCATGGCGACGGTTGACCCCGGCGATGACTGCACCCTGGAACTCATTGGGGGCAACAACTTCTACCGACATGATGGGCTCCAGCAGGACTATGGCAGCCTTCTCCATGGCTACGATGTCGTGGGGGGTGGGTACGATGGACACAAAGACAAATAGCATTGTTTTTGGTTAGATTCCATCCATCTCTCCTCTCCTCCAACTAGTCATGGACATGCAGACCCCACTGTAGCTGGCACAGGGCACAAGGCTGGGGTGCCACCATGGACGGGGTGCCAGGCCATCGCAGACCTGCATCTTTCAGGCTCCATTAAACATCCTGTTGATTTTATGAGCCAGGTCGAATGAAGATGAAACATTATAAAATAAAGAGCGATCAATCGTGGTAATAGGAGAAAATGATTTATGTACAAATAAAAGGCTTCTTAGAAGAGACATCAGGGATCGATAGAGAGAAATCAGAGAGTGTCAGCTCAGACGGAGGAGAAGTGGGTAATGAGAAAATGGGGGGGGGGGGGGGGGGGGATACCCACCTTGCTTCACGGCGCCCTCGCCGGCCCTTATGAAGGAGATCTCATTTGAATCCACCATGTGATGTGCGCCATCTTTCAGCACAAAGCGCACGCCTGAGATCTTGTGGCCTGTCAGCGGGCCTTTCTCGCAGGCTTCCCTGAAGCCCTGTTGGGGGTGGGGGAGTACAGCTGATCATAAACATGTGGCTAGGCCTGGCCCCAGACTGCTGAACGCTGATTGGACCCTGACTCCTCATTTTTTTAGCCAATCAGATAGGTTTTCAAGTAACAGTCATTTGAAATGACACCTGGACACCATTAGCAGACTTCTTAATATTTAATCATGTTCATTACCGGATTTCTTAATATTTTTATGCCTTAATCTGGGAAAGTACTTTCAAAGCTCATTACAGGACATTAAGCCAGTTTAGTTTAAACACACTTTCTGTGCAGTTTTAAGGCACTGCTTGTGCACTTGTGCGAGTGTCATTTGTTCTCAAGCTATACATAATTTTTAAAAAGACATTTTAATTTTACATTTTAAATGGTCATTTGACTGATTAAATGCTGACTTCTAAGGCAGGAGCTGAAGGCCTCACCTTCTCGACAGCCGGAATAAACTGTTTGGGCACGTTGGTGCCGATGGTCTCATCAGCGAACTCCAGCTTGGTGAAATCATCCGGGTCCAGCGGCTCCAGAACCCCGATCACCTTCCCGTACTGCCCAGCGCCCCCAGACTGCTTCTTGTGTGTGAACTCGAACCTGCGGACGACAGGCAATGTCCCACACGATTAGCATAACGATGATTCCACTCAATTAAAACCGAACACGTGAGGCCATGTGCGTCATTTACTTGAGGAAAAAATAGAGCCTGTCCCTTTAAGGAAAAGGGGCCGGTCCTCTGCTCGCATTGGCCAAGTTCCTGGAGAAGCAGGAAGTGTCTCCATTTGCAGGGTCAGGCTCCAGCTGCCGCACTTCTGCTCCTTCCCACACTCTCGCCGGATCTGACCCTGGCACACACTCCCTGACCCTCCCCAGAGATCCATCACCTCCACCTCCTCTGTCTCCCTGCATCGTGTAGGAGGAGGCCGCCATGCCAGTGAAAGACCTGAACCCGGCGCACTACCCCGCCCGGCGGGCGGCCATCGTAGCCCAGCACTTCCTCAACACCCAGCATAGCTCCCCCTGCAAGCTCTTCCTGCTGGATGCGATCAGCAGCGCCACACTGCAGGTGAGGCCGCATGTCTGCAGGTGAGGAGCGCAAACGGAGCTCTGAGCCGCCTTTCCCACACAAAGGGGCTGTTACTCTGTCGGTCTTTCCTTCCCTCACACAGGAGACAGAAGAAAAGGGCAACAAGTACAAGCTGGAGTTCTCTCTGAAGGACGCGGTCAGTAATGTAAGTCCTGACAACGTCACAGTCAGGTGTGTGCGTGTATGCGCGTGTGTGTATGCGCGTGTGTGCATGCGTGTCTGTGTGTGCATGCACATGTGTGTGTGTGCGCATATGTCCTCCTTTGCATTTTTTACCTTCATGTCTGTTTGCACAGAAAACGCCTGTTTGCTCTCGATTGCGAAACAGCCCTAGTTGCCCAAGAGCTCCATTAACTGCCCCCCCCCCCTCCCCCCATTACAGCAGTCGGTGGGGCCGTGCTCGGCAGAGGTGCAGTTCCCAAGCAGGGGGGAGGAGGGTGCCCCCCTGGTGCAGTACTCATGCCAGGGCCTGTCCGCCGTCAACACCACTGACCAGGAGGAGTCTTTCTACCGGCGACTGAGGGACTCTGGCAGCTTGGTGACGGCGAACGACATCCCAGGCATGGAGACAGCCAGCCCCCCCTCACAAACACCCCTCTACACCGGGATCCACACAGCACACTATCACTGGAACGGTTACCAATTCTGATTCCCGAAGGACTTTTGAACAGGGCTGTAATTGGTTGTTGTCATGGCTACCTGTGACCCGCAGACAGCTACGGGCACATGGCGCCCGAGATGAAGCCGCTGTGGAGGCTGGGGGCCGCGGCAGCCAGTTTCATCATGCTGAAGGAGTCCAATGAAAGCACCCTGTACAACGTGGCCCAGGTGACCAACATCATGCAGCAGGTGAGTGCCGCCAGAAGGGCGCCCCCTTGTGGCTGTTATTATTATTACCGTAGGCCTGTGGACACCTTTCCCAAGTGACCTGAATGGCTTAGAATTCAAATAATTTAAACGAGGAATCATTTCTAATGGATGCAGGGCCCTTCGTGCTTTTCTGAACCAGGGGCATTTATGGATGAAAAAGAGTTTCATTCAGTCAGGTGATGAAATCATCTCACCTAACTACTCTTGGATGCGTTCTCCAAAATACCCTCTGCAGTTGTCAGGGTGCGAGTCCAAACCGTTCAGGTATTTTGAGCCCAGCTCACACGGTCTCCTCTGAGACAGTGACAGAGGTTATTTAAAGGACACTGACCCAGTCTCCCGTCTGCTCTGCCCGCTTCCGCAGGAGTCTGAGGGGGACCAGCTGAAGTTCCGGTACCACATCCTGCTTCACGACATGGTCTCCCAGGTAATTATGGGTAAATGTATAAAAGATGTGGCTTTCAATAGCCAATTTCAGAGTGACACTACTTCTGAAATCAGCATTAAAATTCTGTATCTAATCATTTCTGTAATATTACTCATATATTATTAATATAGTAATATATATTAGTAATATATCATATATTAAGCTTTTACTTAAGGATACAGCAGGAATGTAATATAAAATATTTTACTAATATTTTTGCTAATTCTATTCTTATCTGGCCTCACACAGTGTCTGGTGATCTTTGAGAATGTCAGTGTTCAGCTGAGCAGGCTTTAAACACAGTACCAGTTTAACACCGGGCATAACTTGGATAAAATGTGTAGTGAGGTTTCTTAAATTGCATGTGTTTTGCATTTTACCCGAGTAACATGCACAGATAACTGCGGCACACCACCCAAAAGCATGGGTTTACAAATAAGTCGGGGGGAAAAAAAAAAAAAAATCCTTCTTGTTTTGGTCAATGATTCTTAAGCTGCCTTGTGGTGTTTTACAGGAGATAATCCCTTGGGTGCTGCTTTTCACATGGTCTCCAGCAGAGGGCGTGAGAGTTCTCAGTGCAGAAAAACAACCCAGATGTCCCCACGGCACTGCCTCCAGCTAACACCGCCACAACCCCCTTACCCACCAACTGAGCTTCTGGCGTCGTCCCCAGAACCCCTGTTCCCCTACTCACACACTTTCCTGTGTCTAAACCTTCCTTAATTAAGAACAATTAAGTTGATTAAATCTGAGGCCCAAAGCACCCCCATCTTTTCTGCAGAACTCCCTCTAGTGCTGAGCATTACCACAATTATCATCTGTCTAGCTTGGCACTGTGCAGCTCTGAGTCCATACAGACGATCAGTAATGTAATTATGCTCATAATTAAGCATCACACTGTTGGTACAGTATTACTCCGGTGACACACTACAGCACGGTAATGTCCTGCTGTTCGTCTCTTTTTAATTTCCACTAATCATGTTAGCAAGTAGCAATATCCAACAGAAAATAGAGCGACGGCCTGTAAAACGGCCACATTCAAAGATGCAACTGAATTAAATGCATACAAGAAAACTATGCAGCGTGTCCTTTAAATTAGTGTTTCTCAACCACAGAATTAGGCCGCAGAATTGTGCCTGAGAGACGCAGTTCAGTCCGTAATGGGCTGCTGCACAGGCGTGAACCCGATTGCCACCTGGGAAAATTCCACAGTCGGGGTTAATTTACCATGGGAATAGAGCTTGACGATATAAACCATATATCGACTTATCGTTATATAAAAATTGAATGATAAGAAAATGTGAACCTGGGATAAACTGCCAATAAGGACCAGTGTTTGACAGCACTTACCAGCCTATCACATCACAGGAATTAACGCAGTTTCAGCCAATCACATGGCAGCCTTTTAAGAATGGACAACCTGTACCCAACCATCACACTTCAAGGCTGACCGAGTTGGCGGAGCACGGCACATGCTGCCGTCATGGTGACATCACGGAAGAGGCGAGTGCTCCGTCAGAGGAAGCGTCAGGTGATGGGGGTGTAGTTGACGTGGAAGCCATGCCAGTTAGTTTGTACCACTACAATAAGTTCTGGAATGTGACTCGTAAATGATGTCCCTTTGAAAAATGGCGCGCAAACAATCATGGCCAAATGAGCTTCTGGTAATTAGTCTTTCCAATTTTTTCTGAACTGGACCTTCATAGACAGCAGAGCATTCTTGGATATTTGCGTGTGAGTGAGTATAAGAGCAGCACTTACGGAACGAGGCTGGATATGGTCTCCCTGAATGCCACCTTGGGTTTGCCCATCAAGCAAGGACAGTTGTATTCCCTCTCCATCCTCTAGGGGGCAGCAGGGAGAAAGAACGACAGTTGAGTTACAACTGTGTAATCACTCATATACTTAGACCCACAGATCTAAATAGAGATAAAACATGATTATTGTTAAACATGATCTTGTTCACCTGTGAGTAGATCTCCAAATGCAGTTCGCCCATTCCAGAGATTACAGTCTCTTTGCTCTCCGAGTCAAAATGGACCCTGAAGGTGGGGTCCTCCCTCGTGAAGCGGTTTATTCCTTTTGAGAACTTGTCCAAGTCATTCTGAAGGGGGCCAATAAGACAGCGATGAAGACAAGCTGGGGGGGGGGCATTAGGGCCTTGAGATGAGGAATCATGACCGTTCCTACTGGTATATATCCAGTATGAGAGAGTGACTACCTTGTTTAATGGTTTTACAGACATGGAGATTACTGGATCTGGCACATGGATGGACTCCTACAAAAAACACAGATTCATTACAAAACTGTCAGATGGAAAAGTATAGAGCAGTGTGTCAACGTGGCCCCGCACACTGGGGGAGGCACGCAACGGCAGCCAGGGCTGGATCAGGGCAGCACGGGAGCCTCACCATGGAGAGGCTGGCATTGGCACGAGCCGTGAAGGTGTCGCCGCTGGCGCAGTCGATGCCGAACAGAGCGCAGATGTCGCCAGCATAGACCTCGTCCACATCCTGTCGCGCCCAGACATGCCCAGGAAGGAAAGAGGACAAGAGGGTTCAGAGTCAGAACACGGGTCAATGTTGGTGGCTTCAACGAGAGGTTCCAAGTGAAGACTGAAGACCAGCAGCAGAGAGGGGGTGAAGACTCCCGCAGGCCCTGAGGGGCTCAGTAGATGGACTCAAACACTTAATAACTCAACTGAACCAGTTAATGAGCTTATTGAACAAATTAGCTTTCTACCCGAGTACAGAGTGTTTAAAGAGCGGGAATGCTGCCACAGCCACCGGGACGGATCGAAAACTGCTATCGTAATGGATCTTCTTTCCCTCGCTGCAGCCTCACCTCCATCTGGTCCGCGTGCAGCCGGACCAGCCTCTGCACTCGCACCCTCTTCCCCGTGCGCGTGTTGTAGATGTACTCGCTCTTCATCAGGCAGCCCTGGTAGACGCGCACGTACGTCAACTGACCGAAACGCCCTGCCTAGAGGCAGGAGGGATGGAGAAGCACAAGTCAGACCCCCCCACCCAAACGGCACCATCCACCAGGGGTCAGCAGGGAACATGTTCATGGAGCCCAAAGCTCGACTCACCTCTAGTTTAAAGGCAAGACCCACAAAGGGCTGTGTGGAGTCCCGTGTTGAGTCCATCTGGACCTTACTGGTCTCACTGGAGTCTCTAAAGTGGCACAAACACAGAATCCACCACTTCAGTTGCAGGTCCCCGGGAGGTACTGGACATTAGTGCCGACACCGTGGTGATCAGGCCCACTAACAATAGATCCCGACAAAGAGGAACACACAGCTGTGTGTTCAGCATCAGATAGGCTCACCTTATAAATTTCACACCTCCTCCCATCCTTCACATTATTAACAGCACTAAACGCTCCCATCTATGCCTCTATCTCCCCCCTTCTCTAGAATGGCTGTCCTATTTTTCTACCCCCGGTGCATGAGGGGCAGGGGAAGCCATTCCATGAGACTAATGGGGTCGTCTCCTTGGAGATTGCGGGAGACGGATGAGGTCATCTCCTCAGAGACCGTGGGAGACGGATGAGGTCGTCTCCTCGGAGACTGCTGGAAATGGATGATGTAATGAGCGCGAGTCACCACTTCTAGACAGTGATGGAGCGAGGCCTGTGCACCTGCGTTCCCACACGTGCAGGTTTGGCGTGACCCAGATTCAGCTATCATACTAGCCCACAGATGGATGCCACTGACAGTACCCACTGCTGACTGACACTGACAACAGCCAACACTGGTCACCTGGTCTCCAGGGACTCACTCGTGGTTGAGGATGGCGTAGTTCTTGACCTCAGTGGGGTTAGGCAGGTAATCCACAACGGCATCCAGCAGCGGCTGCACGCCTTTGTTCTTCAGGGCACTGCCCACCAGCACGGGCGTGAAGAGCCGCTGAACAGTGGCTCGCCGGATGGCTGCCTGGGGGCCAAAACAGAATCAGGACCCCACAGCCTTCTGTGTTTTGCAAGTTATCAAGGTCAGGACCCCACA